CAACATCAAATAATAAAGCACACATTCAAGAAAATGGGCAGATGTGTTGAAACAGTATATAATATACACATTTCTCCTGTCCCCCTCCCCCCTCTGCAAATATTCCTGCAGATGCCCACAGTCTGGTCCAAAACATATTTGATTGTTGAGATATAACACCAAGAGTTTCCACCTCTTTTTTTCCCCCTTCACTGTTATAAACATTCATCATGCATCCACATACACTATTTGGATTTGTAGCTGATTGTCCCATAATCAAACAAAGAAATAATTACAAATCCAACACACCTTACTCTGTTGATAGTTAAATTTCAGAGAACCTATATAAAGCATTATACAACTCCGTACAATCTTTTTTCCAACTGTTTGCCAGTCAGTCTCAAAAGAAGAACTTCTGGTTTCCACTGTATATTAATATTTTAAATCTTCTATATTAGTATATGTATTTGAGTTCAAAAATTTCTGGCTTCTTTACATGCCACCAAGTATGGTAAAATGTCCCCTCTTGTTGTTCACATTTCCAACATAAAGCCCTATATAAAGGGCAGTCAATCTGAAAGATAACATTTTTTCATCTGAGCCTATCAGGATAGGGCTACTGAAAATGTTCCAAGCTCAAAACATTCCAGACCCAAAATAGCTATTTTGAGTGTTCTGTGTTTCAGGAAAAGGCTCCCTTGCTCCAGGAATTTTATTTTGAGCTTGAAACAAAGCATGATGAGTGTTCAGAACACTGGAGCAGTATTATTTCAAGTAATTTTGGCAGCTCCAAGCACCTTAATTGGATTTTTGACTAAGTTATTTTGTTTTTTAAAAATCTGCCCTGTTTTGCATGAACAGAGTGACAGAAACAGTGCCTGGCCTCACTATCAATTTTGCATGTGATTCTGGACTATTACCAATCTCCATGGTCTGGGACAGGGACTCCAGGAGCCAGGTAGACTGAAGAAAATGTGGCTTGAGACCTGGGCTAGGAGTCCTTTGTGGAAGGAAGTTGAATGAACAGTTGTAAGTGCAGAGAAGGTAGAGGCAGTGAAGAGAAGTGACAGTATATGCAGAGAGATAAGAGCATAGTGTGGAAAAAAGACTGGAGATGGAGAAGAAGGAAAAAAGAACATGGAAAGAAAATTGTAAGGAGAACATTAGAAGCAAGAAGAATAGAGTGGTAGCACAAAACAAAGACATTGTAAATGTCTGAGGAGATAGTTATACAGATGAAGATTCAAATGGACATTTTTTTGTCTGAGAATTTTATCCCAATCATACATGTATGTTAGATCCATGTCCTTCTTAGCTGGTTAAAGCTGCCTAGGAGACAGCTTGGTTGAATTGAAATGGTGGTGAATTCTTCTTGAGTGAGAGAATAGTTCCTCCTGCTTAAGAGGCAGTACAGTAGTGCACCGCTCCTCATAGCTTCTTATGCCTTTGAGTAAAATTTGTTAATTAGAAAGGTGCTATCAGACTCCTGATTTTTTTCCAACATAGATTAACAAGGCTCTCTTCCTACAACATAACTGTAGTGATACTGGACAGTTTCCATCTAGTCTTCTTTTAGGGTATGGTTATGGAGAAGGCAGTTAGACTGCAGGTCCAGAGCACCATGAAGAAAACTGATTATTTGTACTATTTTCAGTCAGGTTTTAGGTCAGATATAGTACTGAAATAGCATTGATTGCACTTGTTGATGACCTTTGGTGGGACCAGGACAGTAGTGATGTGACTCTCCTGGTCCTTTTGACCTCTTGGTGGTTTTTGATACTATCAATTCTTCTGGACTGACTTTGAGATTTGGGAGTGTTGGGGGGGGGGTTGTTTTGTAGACGTGGCTGGCTCCAGTCAGTTCTGAAGGGTAGAAGTCAGGCCCAAGACCCATGCCTTGCAGGATCCTTGAGAGTGCATGGCTTTCTCCTCTTCTATATAACATCAACCTGAGACCTCTGGGGTAAATAATCCAATGGCATGAAGTTGGATATCATCAGTTTGCTGATGACACCCAGTTATATATCTCAATCTCTAGTCAACCAAGTGATGTTGCTGAGGTCCTGTCTCAGTGCTTGGATAGGGAGAAATAGGTTCAGGCTTAACCCTAGAAAGGCTGAGTGGCTTTGGATTCAGGAATTGGCCACATGCAGGGATTTTCCATCTTTAATTCTTGGTGGGTTGCACTTCCTGAGATAAAAAGTTGTTCACAATTTGGGGGACCTCCTGGACTCATGGGCCTTGCTGGAAGAGCTCATGGTGAGTGCCACAAGGAGGGCTTTTGCCCAGGTTGTCTTCTGTACCAATTATGCCCTTTTCAGGACTAACAGATTTTTCTTGTGGTTATTCATGCTTTAGTCACCTCCCATTTGGACTACTACAATGCATTCTACATATGGCTGCCAGACCACTCAGAAACTACTGCTGGTCCAGAATGTGTTTGTGTGAATAGTTATGGCTGCTTCTCAGTACGACCATGTGATACCTTTCCTTCATGAGCTACACTGGTTTCCAGTTCAATAATGTGCTGGTTGTCATCTCAAAAGCCCTTCATGGATCAGGGCCTGGATGTTTATGGGACTGTCTTTCTCCAGTTATGTCTGCCTATTACTTGGTTTGATTACTTTGCTGAGCTTTGGTGTGTGTGTTCATGCATGCTGCTTCTGTCCATTTTCTTTTGTTCTGTTAATGTTGAGCTTCAGAGTGCGTTTCAAAATGAAAAATGTAGATAGATTGGTTGGCTTGTTGAGTTTTGTGTGTGGATACCTTTGGTATGTTTTATGTCTCAACTGAATTTTCATAAGAATACATTTAACAGCATGTTCTGCTGGTTTGTCGAATCTGGCAATTACATGTGTGCATGCATTGAGAAACATGTCAGTGCTGTCTGCAATTGCTGGGGCACCCTGGAAAATTGTAAGATTGTTGTTGTTGTTGTTATTACTACTACTACTACTACTATTATTATGTTATGTTATGTTATATTTTTATTCTGCCTTTCTTATATTTGGTCAGCTCAAGGCAGCGAACATGTCTAAAACTTCTGCCTTCTATTTTTATCACAACAACAACCCTGCGAAATGGGTTGGGCTGATTGAGAGTGACTGGCCCAAAGTCACCCAGCCAGCTTTCATGCCTAAGGCAGGACTAGAATTCAAAGTCTCCTGGTTTCTAGTCTGATGCCTTAACCACAAACTGACTCTCCAGGTACATAGTAATACAGGTAGTTCTTGTTTAACAACTGTTCGTTTAGCAACCGTTCTGTTGCAGCAGCCACAATGTGGAATTCCATATGAAGGATGGTGTATTTGTCCTCTGGTCCTCTAGCTTTCTTTTGCCTAGTTTGGCAAGATTTTCTGGATTGAAAAAATTATTATACTGACTGATAGGGCTTTCCAAAATTATTTATCATTAGGGTTATGAAGGGCTTTGACCTATGTAGAAATAAATACAGCATGTACATGGAGAGATACTGTATATCCAATTGTTGCTCACCATTTTTCCCCCAGTTAAATATGCTGCTTCCCAAATAGTGTAAATGAACACATTGATGAATTTGGACTTAGATTTATTTTGTTGCACATTAAAGTGTATGCATCACTGCTGTGAGTGAGACTTTAACCTTTCCTTAGCAGCTACTTTGTACCATTTGCTTCTAGTTGTGAGGCTAGAGGGAAAATGAGTTTTTGATCTCTATGTGTGTGTTAGACTCCTTCTACCAGCCTCTCAAATGCAACATTTGAGGGTTCAAGAAATCATGTGAAATGTAGTTCACAAGAATTTCTAAGCCTATTTGAGACGAAGATGGGTAGAACAATTTACATAACACTAGATATTTCTCAAGTACTTGCCAGGAGAAATATAAAAAAGTTAGTGAAGTCAAGGGGAGCTAGTAATCATGATAGTAATCATGAAGGTGATTACTGGTGACATATGATGTTTTGTAGATCTTCTAAGCAGAGTAATTTGATCCAATAAGAGAAACAGTATGGTTCTCAAAGTTTTTAATGAATAATTTAGATATGGCATTCAGCCAGACTCTCAGGATAAGTTAATTCCTTTTGGGCCAATTTTGACATCTCTCAGAATTCCTTCATTCCTCTACTCCACCATATATTCACTGGATAAAAAATGAATACATTCTTGTATATTGCTTGAGGGTCTCATTTCCTCATAAGAAGCCTTTTGAAGAGTGGCCAGATGTATGCAGGGGCAAACCAAGAATGATTTGTACCAGTGCCAAAATTGGTGGGATCAGAGACATACTTTTCTGTACCTGTATATACCAATAATCACAATTCAATTTTAATTTTCCTTCTTCTCTCTCCCGTCCTTTCTTATGTGTATGCTGTCTTCCTATGTACATTTTTATAAGGTTCTGTAAATAATTCTATGCTTTGATATTATGCAAATAATTGTAAATAGCATTTTCAAATTACTAAGCAAAAAATATACACATAGACATCTTTTCCAAATTTAAATATAGCATATATTAAATAAACAAAAACATGTGGTTGAACAAACAGTACCTATATCACCATATGTCAGGGAGCTGTCTAAGATACCTTTGAAGTTTATTTTTTTAAAAAACTCTCCTTCCTCTGCCCTGGTTGCTATGCAGAATATGTTGCACTCCACCTGGTTGGTTATTCACAGCAAATGTTAGTGAGGCCCATCTCTAGCTTTACTTTCCTACATTCTCTCTTCAGTAGAGTGCTAACACTTTATACACACATGGTTTTATGCATGTAATCAGTGCTTCCTCTGGAAATAAAGGAGCTACTTTCTATGTATATTGCTCCTTTTGTAGAGGAGAATTCCTGTACTTGCTGTTCCTCCATTTAGACTGATAATTCAGTGAATCACTAAAACTTTGTCCTTGAATTTTATTTTGCATTTTTTTAGCTTTGCAATGGTTGATGGAAAATGGCAAATAAAACAAATTTCTTAATATGTTTTATAGATGCACATATTTTAAAGCATATTATTGTTTAATATATGAAATCTCTGTTGTTTCACAGAGGTATTTCCAAGAGATTCCAGTTTAAAAGACAAGTTCATCAAACACTTTACAGGTAAAAGCTATGAAAAATATATTTGGATAACCTCTATCCAGATGTTGATTTCATCAAAGAAAATGTTTAGCAATTTTCAGATTACAAAGCTATACAAATAAATACAAAACTAGGATCATGACATGGCTAAAAGATCTGAAGAAAGTGACTGTTCACATTCATATGAACGCATACATTCATCTCTGTGCTAGCAGCATGCAGCTATTCAATGAGAGCATATATGAGATGCCAGGATCAAAAAGGGGGAGACGCTAAAACAAAGCCTAGAATTTGATTTATAATCCAATTTCATTTAAATTCATATGTGTTTTGTTAATATGATTCCTTCCATGTATTTAAAATTTTTCTTTTTTTTCTTTTTTACATTAAACATTACAATTTTTAATTGTAATGAAAAGACTGTGTGACCTATAGGAGCATAACCGGTGATCCAGGACTTTGAAATGTTCTGTGTATCTGCACAAATTCCTGGTTGCACAAAGCTTCTAATCACATTTTAGTGGACATATATATAAACAAATTCAACTCATGGCAGGTAGGTAGGGGATCAAAGCAGCTGAGCTGTAATGTTATACTTCTTATTGAAAGAGTAGCAGTGGGACTCAGAAGTGTCAAAAGAAAACACACACTCTGTCCCCAAACTAGACATTTTGGCTGGCAAGCAATTGCCATTTATTGAATTTCCTTAATAAATACCTTCTGATAGTTTCTGTCAGCAAATTAAAGAAAATTTAGTGCCTACCTGGATGATCAAAAATGCAAGGATTTACATCTCAGTTAAGACCATCTCTGTATTTTTTATTCTTTCTAACGCCAAGGAATATTGGAAATTATGCAAAGGGCTTGGAACTCTGTTTATCTATCTGTGTGTTGGCAGTTGCATAACTCTCTTAAAACAGAATAGGATGGGACCAAATTTGGACTGGAGAAGCCAAGAAAAAAAAGAATTAAGTTCAAAAATGGGAAAGATTCAACAAGAAGCTGTAGAGAAAAGACCAAAAAAATCCCAGTGTATCCCTAAGAGAGACGCAATCAGAGAGCAGGTTGTTTCTAACTCTCCATTCAAAGCCGCCTCCTTTTTCCTTCCCACTCATATGACCTAAAGCAGAGTTGTTTTTAAAGGGTTGAAAAAATCCTGAAAGCTATGCCCTGCATGCTTTCTCAACCTTCTTACTCCAGTCAACCCAGCGGAATATTGGAAAGAAATTTTGTAAAGGGGCTCAGAACTCTATATGATATGACTGTCCATCAGCAGGATAATTCTCCAAAAACTAATCAAAATGGGACCAAATTTGATCTGAGGGGTGAAGTCAGCCAAGGAAAGACGGGGTTTGACAATCGACTGCATGGACTGGGGATTGCAGAGAAAAATATTCCAGGAATAATTTCTCCAATGTGTCCCCCAGGAAAAGAATTTGAATAGTGGCTCCGAATGTTGCTGGCTATTCCATTCTAAATCTCCCTCCCTCCTCCTCCTTCTCCAGTCATGTGATCTAGGGCAGGGTATATGCTTCTTCAAGTACAAAGGCAAATTTATGATTATGGTTGGTAAAGGGTTTGGAAAGAATTCCAGAAACCAGGTCTCTGCATGCTTGCCATCCCTTGTCATTTTAGTTTTATAAGTTTTATAAAAATGATAAGTCATATATAACCAAGTCAGAAGATTAAGTGGTACTGTATTTTGAATGGGTGATGCAAGATAGATAATTTTAAGCAGGTTATAAATGAAGCAAATATAAGTAATTGAAAAGGATAAGTTTACTTATTTGAACTAGTGTTAAAAGACCACCAAAATGTTGTATCTCATTAATTTTTATGTACTATCAAACAGGTCCTGTCACATTTTCAGCTGAATGTAGTAAGCATTTCCATCGTCTATATCACAATACACGGGATTGTTCAACACCAGCTTGTAAGTTACCACTAAAACTAAATTCATTTTTCACTGTCCTGTCTCAACTTAGAGACAAACAGGCTCTTAGCACCAGACTATTTCATTACCCTTCTTTGAGAATAGAGTGTGTACATTTCTGCTATTATCTTGTCAGATGTTTCACTGAACATCAAACCTGTAATAATGGTGCTAGGCCAAAGCAGGTTATTAAGTTTATTGGAATGTATGATGGATGGTTTTGTACATAAATCTCAGGAATAGATAGTGAGCATCTTATGTTTAATAACTATCAGTCAACTTTAATTTAGATTCATTAGATTTGTTTAATTTAGGTTAATTTGATTACTCCTTTTTGAGAATCTGTTTCTTCCTTCTCTTTCACAGTTTATCCAGTTGAGGCCTTTATTGTATAATTGTCCTTCACTCATATAATTTTATGAGAAATTCAGTTGTTGTCTTTCATCTGTAACCTTTCATATTTTCAGACTTCTTTTCTTATGACAGAAAACGGGTTAAAGAAAGAAAAATGTGCAGTGTATTTTCATTAATGTACGGGATGGATTCTACCTTGCTGTACTTAGGAGACCAACCATGATTATTGAATAACTAATTGTATTAAAATGACATTCAAGAACTTCAGTAACACCATTTGTGTCTACCAGTTCTCCTAACCAGATCTGGAGAGGAAGTACTTTATCCTTATAAATACTGGAAACTATAGTCTTTTTACACAGAGGAAAAGATTGAATATAATGTGTTGTGGGGAAGTTTTGCAAGGCAGGAAGAATGCTACAGAATTTTCTAATAATGGGTCTTGTTTATAGTATTTGTAGGTCAAAAGGTGGGGGGGGGGGGGGGGGGAACAGATCAAATACTCCATAGAAGAAACTTTTATGTGAATAGGAGGCATATTCAAGACCAGATTTTTTTTTTAAAAAAATCAACTAGTATTGTTCAACACACATCTAGTTTGAATTCAGTGGATGGATTGTTTACCTCGTTAAAGCAATACTGTGCTAGTATTCTTCAGCATGGTCCTTTTTTGGAACTGGCACATTAATAGATATTTTCCAGTCCTTTGGCTGCTCCTGTGCTTTCTATGCCTATATACAGATACCAAGTGCACCATCTATAAGATTACCATTCTGAAAGACCAATTCTGCTGGTATTTCAGCAACTCCTGCAGTGTTTTTGTTAGGAATATTTTTATGGCCCATTCTGTTCCAGAATGTCTGACTCTAATTCATGGATTAAATCTTCTTCTACGTCAGCAGTGTCTGCAGGATATAAAGTCTAGATGGCAGCAGCCATGATGGCACATTCACAGTTCCATCCACTTTTGATGTGTGTTGGGCAGAGCTTTGATTACACTGTTGCAGCTGCCATCTTGACTTTTTTTTTTTTTTTTACTATACTCTGAAGATACACCTGATGGATGTCATTTCTGTAATTTTCTTAAATACTTTAATCTTCCCATTCCATTGTTATCCTCAATTGCTTTGTACTGCTTATTTAGACATAATGTTGTTTCTCTTCTTGCTCTTTTCTGGAACTCAGCATTTAGTTGGGCACTTTTTCTTCTGCCTCTGCTGTTTTTGCATTTTGCCATTCTTCAGCATGGTATGAACAGTAAGACATCTTGCATTTCGGAATATTTTGTTTGCTTCATATTTAAGAGTGTAGCAAATTCACAGCTCTTTTGATACCCTATATATCACATCTAGCTCATTAAATCAATTCTTTGTCTTCACTGCATAATCATATGGAATATTCCGGAGGTCATATCTTATTAGTCTAATGATTTCACTTGTTTTCGTTAAGCTGTAATTATGCATGAAAGTTAATGATCTGGTCTTGTTTTTGCTAACTGAATAGAACTTCTCTATCTTTGCATACAAAGAATAGCGTTAGTTTGGTTTCAGTGTTGTCCAACCAATGATGCCTTAAGTTATATTTTAGGTTGAAGAAGAAGGTATTTGCTATAAATATTTAATTTTCTTGGCAGAACTCTATTAATTTGTCTCTTACTTTACTTCATACACTATTCCAGATGCTATTTTACTTCTAACTTTACCAGTCTGGTCTCTTATAATTAGTATGATGTCTCTTTTGATTACATGGTGCATCTGTAGTTGGACCCTAGAGTTGGATCACTATAAAATTCACTACTTGCTTTGGGCTCAGAGTGAGATCATTCTATCATTTTTAAGGTTGTATCTGAGCACAGACCATAATACCTTTTTCTTAATGATGGCTACTCCATTTCTTTTATGATCTCCTTATTCACAGTAGATTCGATGCTCCTTGTAAGGAAGTGACCCATTAAAGTCAACTTCAGTTTCCTGATTTCCAGTGTTTAATCTTGACACTTTTGCTCAGACTACATAACATTTATGATTCATGGTCCCATATTGTGTTACCAATGGTATACGTTTCTGCACCATCAAATTTTATCTATGCTTCCCTCCATATATGCATCTGAACATACTTTTGACTTCGATCCAAATGCATCTTATGAACTAGCAATACATGCCTCCTGTTCTTCCCCAGTAGCTCACTGAATACCTTCTAACCTCAGAGGGCCATCTTCTAGTATCATGCTGTCATTACTCTAGTTGTGAATATCAATTTGATTTTCTTGGAAGAATGCTAGAATAGGTTGATGTTTCTTCTCTAATCCCTCATTTATGCTGGGAGTGGCTGCCTCCAGTGATATAGCTCATAGCATCATTGGGATGTGCAAGCCACTTCCTCACTATAACATAATAAGCCATGAAGGATATTCTCAATTGTGTGCTGAATCATCTCTCAATAACTGCAAAATCTGGCAAGCTTTTCCTTTAAGAAAACAAAACTTATGAAGAACTGAGATTTAAACTGATAATATGTGGTCACTAAGATTAGACAACAACTTGATAGCACATAATCAATCAATCAATCAATCAATCAATCAATCAATCAATCAATGTGGGTATAATGATATAGCCTTAGAATGTAATCCTGTATCTTCTTATTGGGCTGTTGTTCTTATTTATCGCAGTGAAAATTACTTTTGAGAACCCATACAGAAACTTTCACTGATTGTTAACTGATATTTAATAAAAATCAGTAATTTGATCTCTTGTATTTTTAAATGTGGCATCCTCAATTATCTCCTAGTCTAAAGTACTACAGTCAAAAGCCATGAACATTTTTCTTTAATTGAAAAAATAGAGATAGTATAAGTTAGTGTCACTTTGCAGTCCATCTATAAAATTATTTTATTAGGGGTGTGCTAAATAGTTCGTATCAACTGTTCTCTGTACAGAACAGTTATGTTGGGGTGGTTCATTGCCAAAACAATATATGTACATTTTGTATGAATGCTGAATGAAGAATGAATGCAGACTGAAATGTCACTTTTCTGGGAAGAAATTGTTTGGGAGGAGGAGGAGGTGGTAAGAATTGAAAAAAGTTAAGTCTGAGTAGCTTCATAGAAAGGAGGGAAGGGAAGGGAATATTTAGACATA